TTGCGTTCTTCTTCTTCTTTTTCTTCTCCCTCCTCCTCCTTCTCCCTCTTGTTCGTCATCTTCTTCTTCTTCTCCCTCCTCCTCCTCGTCTTTTCCTCCTCGTTCTCCGTTAGCCATAGCCGTTTTTTTTAATTTTTTTTTCGGAAACTGCTTCATCTTCCTTGCGTACTTCTTCTTTTTCTTCCTCTACCTCCTCGTCCTACTCTTCTCCTCCCTCTTTTTCGTCATCTTCTTCCTCCTTCTCTTCTTCTCGTCCTCCTTCATTAGCCATAGCCGTTTTTTTATTTTCCCACATCACCACGGGAGACATCATGGCGGGTGATGGCAGTGGGGGGGCTAGGCCGACGAGACACAAGCTAGGCAGCACCAATGCAGGCATGGGGAAAGAGCAAGTGCAGCCTGTTTCCGTCAAGCCTTCATCAAGCAAGTCAGCGCTGTCAACAACGACGGCCATCAACAAGGATGCAACACCTGCCACTGATCCTGATCTCTTTCAAGCCAAGGACGAGAACGAGCATAAGAAGCTGCTGAAGAAGAATGCAGTTTGGAAGTGGGGCGAAGAGGGGCAGGAGGCAGTCCCAACAGGACGTGGGGAGTATTGGCTGAAGTGTCGCCTTTGCTCCAAGGTGTTCAGGGGCCCATCAACAAAGGCAGTGGAGCATTTCTTGAAAGTGCAGAAACCGTGTCCTTTTCGGACGGGGGAGATTGTGGATGAGGTTGTTAATCAGGGAGGCAAGGTCAACCCCAAAGACAAGAAAACCCGGTACTTGCTGCAAAACTTCAGAGCACTTGCCAGGGGCGCAGAGGGGGGCGATGAGGCTCCGGAGGATGCATTAGATGCGGACGATCCATCGTCTTGGCCGGTGCCTCCGCCTGTTCGAGGGCGGTCTGTTCCACAATTTGTTGCACTGATCGCAAGAACAGATGACGAAGCTGCAGTGAAGGGTGATGATGGCATCGGTGGAGGGGCGTCCCGTGTTGTGCTGGCGAAGACGCAGACCGCAATAAGAAAGTGGATTGACAACGACGCACAAAAAAAGTTGGACATTGCATCGGCGGAACCAATGTTCAGGGCTGGAATTGCTTTCAACTTCTTGAACTTCGATACCACGCAGGCTCTTCACGACGCTTACTTGGAGGTTGCCAATGCAAAGCCGAAGGTGAAGTTGCCTACCTACAAGCATATGCTGACTGTTATGTTGGACTACATCTTCCTGAAGGTCCCGAAGTCAGTCAACCCCTTCACTGCTTGTTGGACAAAACCGGCTGCACATTCATCACAGACGGATCAACAGATCGCAAGAACAGGCCGGTCATGAATTTCCTAGCAGCGGGGGAGAAAGGAGCAATTCTGGTGACCACTGTTTACATGACTGGGAGGAAGAAAAACGCAGCAACATTGGCGAAGTTGTGGGAGCAGGTGATGCGGGAGATCGGGCTCAAACGGATCAACGCGATCTGCACAAACAACGCTCCTGGTCAACAAGAAGGCGGCGCAAATCTTGGAGAGGCGGACCGACAAAGACGTTGCAAGGATACCGTGGGTGCCATGTGGAGCACATTGCTGCAGTCTGTTGTTGAAGGACCTCAACAG